AGCAACAACAACAGCTGTGGTGCATCTGACCATGGTGCAGCAGCAGCTGTGGTGCAGCAGCAGCTGACTGGTCCAATTTATCAGCTGACCATGGTGCAGCAGCAGCTGACTGTGTACGATAGTATTTTTTATCACCCTTTTTACCACAGGGGTGGCACTAGAAGCTTTCTTTGGGCCCATGGTGGCTTATTTAGCAGTTACAAGCACTATAAATAATGGAATAATACAAAATGTATCGAATGTATGCATGCAACAGGCCACCCTGGCTTGTAAACAATGACGGCAAGGCAGGCGCTCAGGCTGGACGGACAGGTTCGGGACGAGTCATGTTCAGAAACAGCTGATGGTGCAACAGCAGCTGACTGATCCAGCAACAGCTGACTGGTCCAGCAACAGCTGACTGATCCAGCAACATCTGACTGATCCAGCAACAGCTGACTGGTCCAGCAACAGCTGACTGATCCAGCAACAGCTGACTGGTCCAGCAACAGCTGACTGATCCAGCAACAGCTGACTGATCCAGCAACAGCTGACTGGTCCAGCAACAGTTGACTGATCCAGCAACAGCTGACTGGTCCAGCAACAGCTGACTGATCCAGCTACAGCTGATCGTGGTGCAGCAGCAGTTGACTGATCCAGCTACAGCTGATCGTGGTGCAGCAGCAGTTGACTGATTCAGCAACAGCTGACTGGTCCAACAACAACTGATCGTGGTGCAGAAGCAGCTGACTGATCCAGCAACAGCTGATTGTGGTGCAGCAGCAGCTAACTGATCCAGCAACAGCTGACTGGTCCAGCAACAGCTGATCGTGGTGCAGCAGCAGCTGACTGATTCAGCAACAGCTGACTGGTCCAACAACAGCTGATCATGGTGCAGAAGCAGCTGACTGATCCAGCAACAGCTGACTGGTCCAACAACAGCTGATCGTGGTGCAGCAGCAGCTGACTGGTCCAACAACAGCTGATCGTGGTGCAGCAGCAGCTGACTGATTCAGCAACAGCTGACTGGTCCAACAACAGCTGATCGTGGTGCAGCAGCAGCTGACTGATTCAGCAGCAGCTGACTGATTCAGCAACAGCTGACTGGTCCAACAACAGCTGATCGTGGTGCAGCAGCAGCTGACTGATCCAGCAACAGCTGACTTGTCCAACAACAGCTGATCGTGGTACAGCAGCAGCTGACTGATTCAGCAACAGCTGACTGGTCCAACAACAGCTGATCGTGGTGCAGCAGCAGCTGACTGATCCAACAACAGCTGATCGTGGTGCAGCAGCAGCTGACTGATTCAGCAACAGCTGACTGGTCCAACAACAGCTGATCGTGGTGCAGCAGCAGCTGACTGATTCAGCAACAGCTGACTGGTCCAACAACAGCTGATCGTGGTGCAGCAGCAGCTGACTGATCCAGCAACAGCTGACTGGTCCAACAACAGCTGATCCCTGGTGCAGCAGCAGCTGACTGATTCAGCAACAGCTGATGTCCAACACAGTGATTGTGGTGCAGCATAGCTGACTGATTCAGCAACAGCTGACTGGTCCAACAACAGCTGATTGTGGTGCAGAGCAGTTGCTGGGCTGATCCAGCAACAGCTGACTGGTCCAGCAACAAACTGATCGAGGTGCACAGAGCACTGACTGATCCAGCAACAGCTGACTGGTCAAGCAACAGCTGACCGTGGTTGCAGCAGCAGCTGACTGTGGTATGATAGTATTCTCTACCCTTTTCCACAGGTTAGCACTAGAGGCTTCTTGGGGCCCATGGTCACTTATTTTGCAGATGAAATCACCAAATACGCTGTAATAATACGAAATGTTCCGATTGTATGCTTGGATGTTACCACGGAGGCTGGCTTGTAAACAGTGCCACCGGTGGAACATGTGAAGCTGGCTCAGGCCGCACATTAGAAGCATCTCGGACGAATAGCATTGAGCGAGTTTTTTAACGGTATGCAAGGCAAAATTTAAGTGATAAAATGTATCGGTATGCGGATTTAACGTTATGTGATGCCAACGGTATGTGAGGGTCCACTGTATTAGGTTCATCCATACACCTCAAGGAGGCAGTTAATACTCATTAGAGTGAGAGATTCTTGATGGTGTGACCTCATGAACAAATGTAATGTTTGCTGGCTCCCACAATGCCCTGTTCACAGCACAAATATTTTTATACTGTTCATCTATGGCACAGATGCAGTTTCTCTGAGAAGGCCTAACCAAATCAATTGCAACCTTTTTGGAGGACCTAAAATTTATACATAAATTTACATTAAAGGCAGTTTTTCAAGTGGTGATTGACATTTTCAGAGTTAAAAAAAAAGTTGGACAAATATAAAAAAAAGTGGGTCAGTGGGGAGAGAATTTTTACATTTTTCTTTTAAAAACACCCAAACTTTTATGCTAATTGTTCTTGTTAGCACCTCCAGCATTACTATTATAGTAGTCCCCCGTATCCACGTTACAAGACTCGCCCTGGGTAACAAAATTTTTTTTGCTTACATACATACCTGTGATAAAGTTTAACTGATAAATAGCGCACAGTAATACATTACCAACATTAAATAGTATTAAAATACACTCCTCCCCCTCCACCATCACCTCTATGCTGATGATGCAAATCTAATGTAAGATGAACAAATGAGAGAGAGAAACGTACCAACAGCGCCAGGAGACAGGTATGGAATACGTATAAATCCTACCACTTACCCAAAACACTGACACCATAAACACCACCACTACTACAGCAGCAGCATAAGCAGCTGCAGCAGTTATTGCCACTGCAGTTGCTGCTCTTGCTGCTACAGTTGAAGCTGCAGAAGTGGTGGTGGTGTTTATGGCGTTAGTGTTTTGGGTGGGCAGTCGGATTTACATGTACGTATTTCATACCTGTCTCCTGGAGTTGTTGGTGCGTGTCTCTCGTCTTTATTTCACATTAGATTTGCATAATCAGCGAAGAGAGATACATCTGACTTGATTCCATCAGCAACTGCTGCTGCTGCTACAGCTGCTTTTGCTGCAGCTGCTGCTGCTCCAGCTCTTGTTGCAGCTGCTCTTGCTGCAGCAGTTGTTGCTGAAGACAACTTTTGCAGTAGCAGTATGTGCCTGTTTGCTGCCAAATCCAATTTTCAGTATATTTTTTATTCATTAGTGTCTCTTTAGACCTTGTGCGTTTAACATTTTTTCCTGGTCATTTGTGATCTTCATCTGTTAAATCTGGTTCTTGATCATGTCTGCCAAATAAATGTGAGCTCTTTATACATACATTAGAGTGATCATACACAAAGTATGAGTGCATATGGTTGAATTAACCCTTTGACTGTCACAACCCCAAATTCCGAGGTGTCTCCTGATGTTGAAAAATTTTTGAAAAAAAAAAAAAAAATTTTCTTATGAAATGACAGAGAATCTTTTCCTGATGGTAATGACGCCAAAAGAACGAAATTTGATGGAAAACTTACAGAATTACGCTCTCATGAAGTTAGCAACCTCAGCGATATTTACAAATCGACGATTTTGCCCATTTTGAGCCCTATTTTCAGCTAATTCCATTGTTCCAGTCAATCAAACTCATAGCTACTTCTTTAGAACTCTATTTGTTCTATCGATTGAGTACAAGAAACTGCCTATTTACCAATTTCAACTACCCAATAATGACGTGGTCAGAAATTTGCAATTTGACCAGTTAAAAAAATGCCAATTTCAAAACAGGGTCCAGAATGAACAGTGCAGACATTCCTGGCTCTAAAATAACATTTTCTTTGTTCATCAGTCACGTCTCCAGGCCCTTCTGATATTACTCTTGCTTTCTCTTTTGAATTTTTATTCAAACAAAAAATAGAAGATTTACTGTTATGCAGACTACTTCAGTGTTGTAATAATTGTATAAATAATGTCAACCTATTCATGACTGCATATTAGAATGGCTAGTTGGACATTTATTGGACAATGACATAATTTGTTTACTCTTGAACATTGGCAAAAATCAAACATTTCCCCTACTTTGAGCTCATTTCAAGGTCCTTTTCATAGTAAAACCAATCAAAATCACCTCTATTTCTATAATATATTTCCCATTCTATCAAATGAGACCAAGAAAACGAGAATACAACCATAAATACTATACGAAAATACACCACAAAGTCGGCGTTTTAATCCAAAAACATGGTTGGAGGTTTTTTTTCTCGTTATGCACTGTGTGCTGCAGGATTTTTTTTATAAGGTGCACACTGACCACAGTGACCCATTCTCTCATATGTGGGCCTACCAGCTTTCTCCTGCTTTATCTGAAGCCGCTAGAATTTTTGAGTATGTATACGTCAAACACATTGGCTCGTAAGACGTATATAGTATACGACCAAAACAGTCAAAGGGTTAAAAGTAAGGGGAAAAAATAGTAATTCAACTTCAACAAAAACATAAATATTAAACCTGTGGTTCCTGACTAATCTTTACCAAACAAATGAGAGCTGTCTATACATGAATTAAATTAATAAACACATAGTATGAAGCATTTAGTAACAACTAGATGAGAAAAGCTAATTCATTGATAGAAACTGGACTGATAAAAATATCACACTGGCATGAAAGCTGGCCACTGTTCAGCAAAACATGGAAATAAGACACACACAAAAAAGTGAATCATGAACTGGCAGAAAAGCACTAGATGGAATAATAGGAGGCCTACAGCATACCATATTGAACACATTTTTTGATATAATTAAAAAAAAAATCTTTCATTATACTTTTATCAAACAAGGCATTGTGTGGTCAGAGTAACAGTGTGGTGAATTTAGTACAGTATATATTGCTACCTGGTTGCTATTCCTCCAGAAGTCTCAGAATATCCTCAGAAGCTAGTTCTAAAACTAGTAAATGCAGTAAGAGTGCATTTGTAATTATGATCTAACCTATTGTTATCATAAATCAGAATTTTAAATTATTTTGAATATTTGTGTTAGGTTTTTAAAATTCTTCATATTAATACAGGATTTTTTTTTTTTCAGGCAAGACAGTTATTAGATCAGGAATTTCGCAGTCTTCTTTCAACTGGAACAGATCGAACAGATATCAATAAATCTTGATATGAGGCCCCCACAGCTAAGGATGCTGAAGCTAGACTTGTTTAATGAATCCAAAGAAGTGGGGCAGGGTGACCAGTGATAACAGAATCAGTGGTTGTTGTTTGTGCCCCAGGAACTGGGCAACTAGTGATAGCAGAACCAGTGGTGGTTATTTGTGCCCCAGGAGCAGGGCAACCAGTGATAGCAGAACCAGTGATTTGTTTGTGCCCCAGGAGCAGGGCCACCAGTGATGGCAGAACCAGCGGTGGTTGTTTGTGCCCCAGGAGCAGGGCATCCAGTCATAGCAGAACTAGTGGTGGTTGTTTGTGTCCCAGGTGCAGGGTGACCAATGATAGCAGAACCAGTGGTGGTTGATTGTGCCCCAGGAGCAGGGCATCCAGTCATAGTAGAACCAGTGGTGGTTGTTTGTGCCCCAGGAGCAGGACAACCAGTGATAGCAGAACCAGTGGTGGTTGTTTGTGCCCCAGGAGCAGGATGACCAGTGGTTGTTAATTGTGCCCCAGCCTCATCTTTACCCAACCCTACAATAGTAGTTAATTCCCTCTACTGTTGACTCATACAGCTGATGTTGATTGGCCTAAGGTGTGTATACTAAGGACAGATAAATCCGGTGATTTATTATTATACACAAAAGCTGCATGCTGTTGCTTGTTATGAGGCTTGGGCACAGTAGTAGACTGCAAGTGTCCCAAGCTGATCCCTGATCTTTGGGCACAATATGTAGACTGCAAGTGTCCCGAGCTGATCCCTGATCCCCAGGCGTAGTAGTAGACTGCCAGTGTCCCGTGCTGGTCCCTGATCCTCGGGCACAGTAGTAGACTGCAAGTGTCCCAAGCAGATCCCTGATCTTTGGGCACAGTAGTAAACTGCAAGTGTCCTGGGCTATTCCCTGATCCTCGGGTACAATACTGGACAGCAAGTGTCCTGAGCTGGACTGATCCTAGTGAGGATCACTTATCATCTGCCTTGTCATTTGTACTGACAAACAACTTCTCAGTTTGTGTATGTTTCACTCACTACTGATGTAAAAGCTGATTTTAGTAAAATATGAAAATGTTAGTGAAATAACAAAAAACTGAGACATGAAGGCAGTGTCAAAAGAATCACCTTCTCGGAACCTCTAGTCGATAGTGGCTATAAATTGATGGACAGTGATATAGTTTGTCATGATCTGTTATTGTGATGCTTGATGCTGGCTTTACTTAAGTGTTAAACAACTCGGCCTAGAATGGTTGAAACTGCCTAGTATAGTACAGGGCTGTGAGTCAGGATATATTATTATTATTACATTCAGTGGGGAGTGCTAAACCCATAGGGATCATACAGCTCCTAAGATATATTATACTGAACAGAGATGTTTATATATGTACATTGATTGCTGTGTTATTTGATGCTGATTGGTACTGTATGTCATACGTTTGTGACATACTGTACAGGTATAGACATCAACTAAACAATAGATACGAGCCTAGCTGGTTTATTCAAAGATCAAGTTGGATTGCCTGGTGATGTTTGGGAAATGCACTACCAGATAATTTACTTAAATATATACAGGAATAAATGTATAGAAGTTTGAATGAAGTGATCAAGTGAATGTTGGTGTGAAGTGTGTAATGCATGCAAGTGGATAAAAGTGAGGCATTAATGGTGCATGTAAGTGTCAGTGAGGATATTTTGTCTCCTATACAAGGAAGTGAATATTATTGGCTAGTCATGTTGAGGCATGTGAGTGAGGTTATGTTGTCTGTGTGTAATCTCTACCTGGTCCTGTATAGGGGTGTCATGTATGTTGCAAAATTTACATATTTTTGATTTTTTAGGCTTTCCAGTAATTTAAAATATATCATTTACAAGTTTTACACTATGCAGAATCATTTGGTTGCTCAGTATTGTGAAATTATCAGTGAAATGCAGAAGTAATACAAGGTTGTTCTGTGCATACAGTACAACTGGAACTGCCAGATCAGGTACAAGACTGTGTTTATGAATATTTAGTAATGTGTAGCTCATTTGGAGTACCTCCAGTTCATCACAAAAATACAGTGTATGTGTATCTGGTGCAATGTTTGTACGCACATATGATTTATAATGTAACTGTCTGTATGTTGCCATCATTGTTGAATCACAGTGTCTTGAACTACATTGACTTAAGTGTCAGGTACAGTGGAAACCTGCACATGGAGGTGTAGAGCAGAGTCTCAGCTAGTTAAGAATGTGCATGGTGAATACAAGACAAAAGCTATCTTGTATTAATGTTGGTAGAATTACCGACAATGTGTTAGGTAAAAAGACACACGTGCAACTAATGTGACACTTAATTGTGGCAACGTTTCGCTATCCAGGAGCTCGATAAAGCTCCTGGAGAGCGAAACATTGCCACAATATAATGTCACATTAGTTACAATTGTGTCCTTTTACCCAACAAAAGCTATCTTCCATACTTTACATGCCAAACTTGTCTTTGTAATTAATATGTGTAAAAAGTCTCCTCATCAAGATCTTGGCAAACAGTGTCAATTTGTTTTACTGTTATGATTGATAACTGGTCAGTTGTGTATTGGATTTTATGAAGTGTACTTGGTGTTATTAGCAAGACAGAGTTGGCCAGTTAACTTATGAATGGGCTGTGTTGTCATAGGGAGCAGATATGGTCTGTACAGTGCACTTTACATTGATGTTGAGTATGACTGATTGTTTCTGTGAAACTTGTGTAAGTAGTGTCCCATTCTCAACGTAATGTTCAGTGTAATGCCAGATGTACTCACCTCATTGTTATGTGTGAAGCTTCATCTTTTACCTCATCATCTTGCCTGTATTCATTCGTGATGCAACTTTAGTTGAAATATTTATGTTGTGGTGCTGTAGTTCTGCTGTCCTCAACTCCCACATTCCTTGAGTAAAGAATACTTTTCTCTACATCTAATTTTGTGATTCTCTCATATTCCTCTGAGTACTGCTTTTATTGTAAACATTAAACAAGAGGTGAGCAACTATACTATTGCTTGATTCACTGGCTAGAGTCCTTTCATAACAAGAGGTGAGCGACTACATTGTTGCTCAACTCACTGGTTGGAGTCCTTAAATAATAATAATGTCACAAAATGAGCTTATTCCTCAATTAAGGCCAACTGACTTGTGTATAGTTGTTTTTTTTAAAGGTTTACATTATTTGATATTTCTTCTATTTTAATTCTTATTAAGTGAGCAAAAAGCTCAAAAATATTCTAATGCAGTCTAATATTATCTAAAGTTAAAACAAAGAAAATAACAAAGATTTGCTTATTCAACCAAATATTTGACAACTGTGTTTACTTACACATTGAGTTAAGACATAAGATAAGACTTGCCTCTTCATTCATTCTTAACATTCACATGCACAGCACTTCTGGTGTATATGAACTCTGTCATTCCTTTGGGAACAGTTTTTTTTAATATTTCTATGTATCAGGCTTATTTGCATATTTTTTATGGAACTTTTGTATGGTATCTTTTTTTTTTGGGGGGGGGGGGGGAGGTGTAACCATTATATCATTTGTGTTATTTTACCCCACTAATTTCTCACATACCAAAACTGTATCATCACATCATTTTTTTTATCCATGGATTCCCATATGAAACAATCTTCTTATATCTTCACATTATATGTTGCATGACATTACTTTTCTTAATGTTATGCTAATACATGATGTCTTTCATTATGTACAAAGTCATATGGGCTTCTGCATCAGTTACTTTGCTTCTTCCCATTTAAGTTCATTACACTTGTAGCTCAGAGGTGTCTCAATGCTCAGTGATATATTTCACTCACAACTAAGTCCTCTTCTTGTAGGATTAACACATGAAAGCTGTGGTGTTCACAGTATGATCCTTAATGATTGCTTCTTCCACATACTGTACATAAGTTTAATTATTACTTCCAAGCGATCACCATTCAGACTAACATTACTGTACTATTCTTCACATTAACTCAAGAAATGTACAGTATATATATTTTGACTTAATAACTGTCTTGCAGCATACTTTTATCACTACTCCATCATCCAGCCATCCTCAGTCCGTAACTCAGTCACACAAGCAAAATTATCTATACACAGTAGTTGTGACAGATTTAAGTGCCATCATATTCATTGCATTTGCATGTTGCAATAGTCATTTAAACCATGAATATATACACTTCTCTAACATTACTGTGACTTTCAAATATAATTCATATCACTTTTTGCACCATGTGAACAAAATGATTCCATAGAAAAGCTAGTATCTGAATTCAGTGGTTTAAGATTCATGCTTAGAATTGTAGCATTTTATTATTATTAATTTTTATTATACAATATTTTTACTCATGAGGAAATTCAGTCAGTATGCATTATAATTTCCTTATAATAAGGAAGCGTATTTCACACACTTGCAGATGTTGCAAGTGTATGGAATAGCTGGTAGGTTACTGAAAGCTGTTAAAGAATTTTTATGAGGATAGTGAGACTCAGGTTAGGGTATGTAGGAGAGAGGGAGATTATTTTCCAGTAAAAGTAGACCTTAGATAGGGATACATGATGTCACCATGGTTCTTTAATATATTTATAGATGAGGATGTAAGAGAAGTGAATGCTTGGGTGTTAGGGAAAGGTGTGGAATTAAAAGACAAAGAATTTAACACAAAGTGGGAGCTGTCACAGTTACTTTTTGCTAATGACCCTGTACTTTTGGGAGATTCTGAAGAGAAGTTCATTAGGTTGGTGGCCAAATTTGGGAGGGTATGTAAAAGGAGGAAATTAAAAGCAAACATAGGAAAGAGCAAGGTGATGAGGCTAACAAAAAACTTAGACAATGAAAGATTGGATATCAGATTGGAGGGAGGGAGTATGGAGGAAGTGAATGTATTCAGATATTTGGAAGTGGACTTATTGGCAGATCGGTCTATGAAAGACGAGGTGAACAGTAGAATTGATGAGGGGGAAAAAAAAAAGCAAGTGGTGCACTGAGCAACCTGCGGAGACAAAGAACATTATCCATGGAGACAAAAAGGGAAACATATGAGAGTATAATGGTACCAACGTTCTTATGTAGGTGTGAAGCATGGGTTGTGAAGATGGCAGCAAGGAGAGGCTGAAGGCAGTGGAGATGTTGTGTTTGAGGGCAACATGTGTGTGAATATTATGCAGAGAATTAACAGCTTGAAGATGAGGAAATGTGGGATTACTAAAAGTATTATCCAGAGGACTGAAGATTGATTGTTGAGGTGGTTTGGATATTTAGAGATGCTAGTACAAAATAGGTTGACTTGGAGGGAAGGCAGGGTAGGGGTTGTTCTAGGAAGGGTTGGAAGGGGGTAAAGGAAGTTTTGTGTGAGAGGGGCTTAGACATCCAGTATGAGAGATTGTTAGATAGGAGTAGAGGCAAGTGGTTTTTATGATGATGTGCTATTGGAGTGTGAGCAAAGTAACATTTATGAAGGGATTCAGAGAAACCAGCTAGCTGGATCTGAGTCCTCAAAGTGGGAAGTACACTCTGAAGGAGGGCCAGTGGGGATATTTGCAGTTTTGAACTGTAGTATTGGTGTGTCTCTGGCAAGACAGTGATGGTGAAAGTGGGAGACAGCCGGTGTACTAAAAAAAAAGCAACAACAACTGTTTGTGGATATTTCTTGCACAACGTTTTTGCTTATAAATTTCTTAAAGTGCTACCTTGCTTTTATTCTTAGTCAGAACTCTTATTCACATCTGTTATTTTGTTAATCAGTTTTACCATGTCCATCACTACAACCTTACAATACTTCTGTTATCACAGGAGAAGGAGGAAGAGGAAATTGTTTTTAGTTATCCTCTACTTGTACAGCTTCCTCCGATTCTTCAAAACCTACCATCGTCTTCTCCATTATTGTCATGTTTCATCAATTCCCTCTCATCTGGTTACACAAGTAAATAATTTATTGCCTCTTTACAATTATAAAATAGTATATAAGTTACACTATTGTTTTTTTTATAAACATTGTCTGAATTTATCAATGTTGAACACATAATGATTAATTTTTTAAAAATGTCCAGAACCTACCCAAGTTCAAACTGTGATATGCTCTCTCTTTTTTTTTCCTTTCTTGAAGTACTAATTTTTTATTATCAAGGTTTCAGAAATGCTTGGCATGAAGTAATCTTCCTCAGATATTAACCCTTTGACTGTCGCAGGCCCCTTTCTGAAACTGTCATTCTATGTCACAAAATATTCGGAAAAAAAAAAAATTCTTATGAAAATATTAAGATTATTTTTCTGAGTGTTTTAGTCGAAATTTTTTTTTTTTGCCATCAGTACTTACCAAGATATAAGAGGCGTGAAGTTTGCAGAAAATGAGCCATGTATGGCAACAGCGGCGACTGCCGCTCACCTGGTAAACTTTGGTTTACTTGTAATTGAAGGTTTGTTCTTTTTTTCACTATTTTATTTTTTCACATAACTTATGTGGCCTGTGAGACCAAAGTAAGGTGCAATGTACATATATATACTCGTTGTATACATCACAATAAGCACACAAACATAATTATCAATATATTGTTTACAAAACTTGTTTACAAAAACAATACAAAATTTTTTTATTACTATTGTTCTATAATATATATACCAATGTACAGTCACCGAACATATTCCTAGAAGCTCTGCAGCTTGTGGAACTCTTTGAAACATGTTTTCATACACAATGGTGTTTTACACTTCCCCACACATAAAACCAGTGTGTGTGCATTTTTGTGGACCTTTGTTTTATGTGCAAAGACAAAACACCTTGTCTGAGCAGTTTTCTTCGAAGTATTAGCAGGCAGTTGTGTTAGGTAGTTATCCTAGGTAAATGGTCGTGTGTCATCATTCCTTCCTTCCAGCATTCGTTTCCTACCTTCCTTCCTACTTTCCTGCATTCCTTTCCTACCTTCCTTCGTCTTTCCTTACTTTCATCTCGTCCTTCCTTCATTCCTGCCTTCCATTCTTCCTTCTGGTTACTATAATATATATGCACATATATAGTCACTAGATACTTTCATATAACTGCTATTATCTTCATTCAGCAAGCTTGTCTTGTGTGCAAGTGTGGGGCTTATAATTGTTTTGAGTCAGGAGTCGGCAGCTGTCAAAATGACATATTATCTCATTACTCACTCCCCCTACCACCTGTCAAAACAGTGGGGTCAGATGCTGCTTCCCCTAAATTCTATCTAATTATCTTTCTCCCTCATTCTATCTCTTTCAATCTGTCTCTCTCTATCTGTTTGTCTATCTCTGTCTCACAGGTACACATAATTTCAAGTATACATATTGTAAATTACCTAGGATAACCCAAAAAATCCAGACAAAGTGCCAAACTCAGCTTGAAGATGTGAGTAAACGTGATGATGACACAGTCTTGTGGCTCTCTCTGAGACAGAGAGCTAGAGGGATAGACAGGGAGCTTGGCAGACAAATAGACAGACAGAAATGTTTGTGTACCAGCAAAAACAAAGGGAGGGCAATGGTCATCTAATCTTTTCTTATCAGCTGCACCCTCCCCCACCCTCGTTTACGCTCATCAAACGTCAGCTCTTATCAGATGTTATCTCCCCTTATTTTGTCACTGTCATAGGGTGGACTTTTTTTTTTTCTTGCTTCAAGGGAACAATATTATTACATCTTCCTCTTCTTCCTCCTCCTCTTCCTCTTCTCCTCTTCCTCCTCTCCTCCTCCTCCTTCTCTTCCTCCTCCTCTTCCTCTTCCTCCTCCTCCTCTTCCTCCCCTTCTCCTCCTCTTCCTCCCCTCCTCCTCTTCTTCCTCTTCTTCCTCCTCCTCCTCCATTGCTTTTGGTCTCAAACTCCTCGAAATCATGAAATTGATCTTCACTGACACTTCCATCTGTGTTAGAGCATCACTTGGGAAGAGAAGAGTCCCAGATATACTGGGGAGAAATTATGCTGAAAAAGGACAACTGAAATTTCATTCCCACAATGCACCACTGGCTCCCCGATTTTTTTTATATGGTGCACACTGACCGTGGAGACTCATTCTCTCACATGTGGGCCTACCAGCTTTCTCCTGCTTGATTTGAAGCCGCTAGAATTTATGCGTATACATACGTCAGAAACAGTGGTGTGTAAGACGTATATATATGGCGTAAACAGTCAAAGGGTTAATTATTATGCTAAGGCGGCATATTCATTTCCTTTTGCATCAATATTTCTGTAAATTTACATTTTGTCCCTGGCAGTGTAGTGAGTGTAGCAGTTAATACCTTGCTGAGTGACCCCAGTATATTAACCTCACCACAAAGTTATACTGTTGCTTTCTTTCCCTGTAATCATTATTTACTCTTAGTTAATTATGGTATTCTTTGTTACATGAATGCCTCCCAATGTTTCATGTATGTATGTTCTTTGTTGCATGAACACTGCCCAGTGTTTCATGTATACATGTTCTCTGTCTCATAAACACCTCCCAGTGTTCCATAACTGTTAAATGCATTACTACTTACCATGACCTTATTAACAACTACTCTTCTACTTTTATTTTATTTTTCTCTGCCCTTTGATGTTTTTATAAGACTTTTGCAATGTCTTAGGTGTTACTGTCTATCAGTTCTTTAAGGTACAGCTTCAGTCTTGAGAACTCATTAACATTTTACTTTCCTTGTCTAAGCCTCTGTTTCTTTCCTAAATATCTTGACCTCTTTCATATTTTAATACATTCACTTTGAGAGGTTCACATTTTTTTTATGTTATCTAAAAATTATTGAAAAACCTGTTTCATTCACGTAAAGGATAGTGCTGCATACCTACCTCTTCAATCACTTATTTAAAAAGAGCATAAGATAATAAGAAGTCATCAGACAAGGCACTGAACTATGAGTGTAAGTCAAAGGAACAGTGTGTTGATCAGTGAAGCAAATTCATTTTTGAATGCTTGAAAACAAACACTAAACTGTCATATTTCAGTCTCGTGCAAGGTGCATTACACTGTGTCTGCATTTAATTCTACTGTTGCTTTGTCTTGGCCTCATATTTACCTTCATGGCTAACAATGTCATTTTGCTGTCAGTATTTCTGTGGTGTTTCACATCAAGATGGTTATTAGCACACTCAAAAGTTTCAATAGCTGTATCCATACATAGTGCAGTGCCAGGAAACATTTTTCATTTATAATATTTCAAAAAATTACATCCATCCATCATGATCATCTGCAATGTTAAATGGAAATTCACTCATTGTTTTGCTAGCCAGATTTGTAGTTCATGTATTTTTGATTAGCAGTGCACTTTTTAGGTTGTCAGATCCCATGCATGGCAAGGTTTAGTAGTAAGAAATGGACGAATTCTAACCTTACTAGTAGACTGCAGATGTGAAAGTGTATTTATAATTGTAGATAAAACCAATAAAAAATGTTGCTCCTATACATTTTAAAAAAGAAAACGGTTAAAATGCAAAAAGAAAATTGGTAATGGGATATTTTTAACAATGTATTTTGGAATGAAATATGAGTTTTAAAAAGAATGAGAGTGTCAGTGTTTGTAAACTTGCATAAGATCTAAAATGTTCTACAAATCATCTTGAAATATTAAAATTATAATGTAACCATAGGTTTAAAATTTTAGAAAACATGAGGTAACAAGTATGGAATTAATGTTTTGATGACATTATCACATGATGATGTTTCACACGAGGTAACAACTGCTCCATTTATTACTCTATCATAATGTTGAACTACCTCTCACTCATTCACTCGCTCATTGACACGCATTCACTCTCACACTCACACTCTCACACACACACACACACACACCAAAAAAAAACATACAGAATACTGAGGAATTGACAAGTCGAACAGGGACAGAATGTTTCAGAGATGGAAAATAGGAACAAGAGGGCACAACTGGAAGTTAAAAACTCAGATGAATCATAGGGATATTAGGAAGTATTTTTCAGAATTAGACTTGTCAGCAAGTGGAACAGTCTGCAGAGTGAAGTGGCAGAGGCAGGATTCATACACAGCTTTAAGAAGAGGCATGAAAAGGCTCTTGAAGCCAGGAGGGAGTGGACCTAGTAGCAGCCAGTGAAGGGGCAGGGCCAGCAGCTGTGACTTGACCCCTGCAACCACATATAGGCGAATATGTGTGCACATGCACACACAAGCACGCACGCGCGCACACACACATTCAGGAGCTATGACTCAACCCCTGCAACCACAATTAGGTAAGTACACACACACACACACACACCACACACACACACACAGCAGTTACAGCTAGCAGCAGTGTTCCCTGCATTTAGTGTTTTTGGGCTGGCCCTAGGAGTTTGTCAGTGGTCATTGTATGCAATAGTGTTAGCGAACAATACCAGAAGTGTATAACAAGCTTCCAAAGTCAAAAAAGTGAGATAAGGTCCAAAATTTCCTGAGAAAATTTGCAAGTGCAGGTTCAACTAGAAGCCTAAGAGAGGCACCCTGGTCTAATGCCTCAGGCGTCAAGTGTTGGCAGAAGTGTGTTATGCAGTTAGTGTCAATAAGACAAGGTTTGTGATCACAAGGAAATAAGGGTAAATATCTGGATAATGATGGTCTTAGTACAGTGATAAGATTGGCTTCTGAGTGATGAAGAGGAGTAAATAATAAAATATATAGACGCATACTGTATGACACCAGGAGAGTAGACCACAAGATATCAGTGTGGACCTGCACTGCACCAACAGCCAGATGTACAGTACTCATCTGTATGTAGTGTCTTGCCTTTAGATGGATGTGAAAAGATCACTCTCTTTATACCTTTGAGTACCAGGGAAATAAGTAGGAAAAACTCTGATGGAAAGTAATTATTGCCTTATTAGGACAAATTCTTAATAACACAGATGTAGGTGTATGTATCTACAGGTGTTTGAAAAGATCTCCATGCAAACCAGTATGTAATACAATAGCTAGCATTGTTAGAATACAATAGGTAGCAACAGGAAAGACACTCACTTAGCCTCTACAGAGAAGTGGGGAAACTTCGAGGTACGAGGGGCAGCCTTGGATCACCTAACAAACACACATATATATAGTACGTATATACATGCAAATACACTTATATGCACAGACACATACACAGGCCAAGTGTCTATTAACACATACCTTTGGGAACTAGTAACAACACACATGCCCTTGCACATGCATACACACCCTCATGTGCATACATGTGTGCATGAACACATGTACATACAAACACATTCATGCACAAACACACACACCTATGCAGACATGTTTGCACAACATACAAGCATACATACAGCTCAGCAGACCTGTACAGTGCTGGCTATACAAAGGCAAAGGCAGCGACTGAATATTTGACCAACAGTAAACTGCAATCTAAGGAAGTTACTGTACTCAATTAGGAAATCTGTCGAGTGCAGAAATGGAAACCCAAAAGACAACTAGAAGAAGGCGAGTTGATGAGGGAGGATCAGGGTATGTGTGGACTGGGAGGTAATTGATGGTAGTAGGGATTAGGTGCAAGATAGAACAAGAAAGGGGAAAAAAGTTCAGTAATTTTTGCAGAACATTGGAAAAGGTACAAAAGGTTTCTGCTGAGAACATGGAATGGGAGAGAAGAGCTGCAGCTGCTAATGCAAAGGTACAAAGCCTGAAAGAGAATCTGAAGGAACTGAGGAGGGAACTGGGTGGAGATGAAGGAAAGGGGTAATGAGATGGGAGCAGGAATAGTAACAATAGGTTAGTGGACAAGAAAGTGAAGAGGAGGCAAACAGACCTTTGCAGAAATACTCTCGGGTAACCTGGAAGTGCAGGAGATAAGAGGAAACAGCAAAGGAATTGCTCAAAAGAAAATCTGAAGGGAAAGGAAGTGGGAAGAGGAGAGATTACTGATTACCCATGGGGTTCACAAGGCTGAATAGAGGACTAATGAGGAAATATGGCAGGCAGAAGAAAAGGAGATTCAGCTTCCCAACAGACTTACATATCAGAAAGCTGAAGTGACTTAGGTGACAAATTTTCAGACTTGGAGTGCACTCAAGGGAAAAAATAAGTCCATTCAAAATAACCTTCTTGACAAATCATCCGTTTTATGTGTTTACAGTTGCGTTATTACGATTCTGTGAGCTGTTATGACAGAAATGGCATGAGACAGGATCATGCAATGGAAACTGCAGTTAAGGCAGACAGAAATGTACCACCAGTTGTTCCTCAACTGGGACAGAACAAGAGAGTACAAAGACACCAGAGGCAAGAAGGAGAGATGGAACATTTATTGACTGGTGTGGAAGCTCAGTCTCTGGAGGAATGCCAGGTGAACCCCCCACACAGACCCCCCTCCCCACCCTCTCTTCAAGCTTTAGCTCCCTCTTACACCCAAACACAATAACCCAAAATAAGCCATATTTCACACCCCTTCCTCACAATTGCCCCTCACCAAAACCCTGACTCTATGTTCCCCTACACCCCAACCTTCTTATTTACAGTCAAGATATTGACCCCTTCCAGTTAAAAAAAAAAAAAACCATACCCCACCCATACTACTGCCCACACCAACTCCCACGTCCATTACGTATGTTCAGGAACCAGTTTGAGAACTTGCTAACTGAAACACAGTAATGAAAAAAAGCTGAAAGCATGGGACATATGTGATTTTCCTGGCTAGATATCAGATTATGAGGTAATGCCAAGGGAACGGAGGTGTACTAGTAGCAATGCTTAATAGAAACCCGTGGAGTTTTGAGATGAGAGAAATAGAGGGAAGGAAGATGAATATATAGCAGGCACACTGAAGACCAAGGGTCCCAAGGTGTTTTGTACAACCCTTCAGTAAACAGCAAGGAACCAAGACAAGAATATGATGAAAACAACAGAACGTAGTGGATACATAAACTGGGGTGGTTCGAAGAGCCCACATGAGCAGAGCAAAGCTGCCTGGTCATGGGTGACTTTAACCACAATAGAATACTGAGAATCTAGAGCCACACGGGGGACCAGAAAAATGGAGGGCTAGGATGCTGGAGGTGGTAATGGAGAGCCTCATGCACCAACATGTTAGGGACACAACTAGAGAGAGGAGAGGATGAACCAGTAAGGCTTTACCTTATATTCACCCTGAGCAATTCTGACATAAAGGATATTACACATGATAGGTCAGTGCTAGTGACCCCATGGCCCTGAGTTTCGAATACCTTGTGAAAATAAACTTGGAGAGAGAAGCAGCAAGGGAAATATGTGAGAAGCCAAACTTCAGAAGAAATTATACAGGCATGTGGTAATTCCTGAATATGATGCAGTGGGAAAGGGAATTAGAAGGGAAAACAGTGAATGAGATGATAAAGTATGTGGATGGAAAGTGCTGGGAGGCAGAGGAGAAATTCACACTCAAGAGCAAAAAAAGCAATGGGAAGGATGAAGTGGGTTCATGGTTCACCTGTGGGTCCAGAAAAAATATAGAAGGCAAAGAACTCAGGAAACAAGAAATTGAGCAGAAGAGCCAAAAATGAATATGCATGGGGAAGAAAGGCTCGATGGCAATTTGAGAATCATATGGCACTGAATGCCAAATCTGACTCAGAGGTTGTTACATAGGTACATCAAAAGGAAGATAAGAGTAAAGGACCAGGTAATCAGGCTGAAGAAAGAAGGAGAGCTCTCAAGGAATGACTAGGGAGTCTGTGAGGAGCTTAGCAAGAAGTTTACAGAAGTATTCTCAGTAAGGCTACCATCAAACCAAAGCATTAGTGTGCCAGCACAATACATACAACAGGAAAAGAGGTGAAAAAACTCTTACCTTTGATATACCTTTTATGAGTTCCAAGAGTTTTTCCTACTTGTAGAGCCCAACCTTGAGCCAGGCTCATCTTGTGAGCTAGATACCTTGAAGACAGTGGAACCAGATACTATATATTCATGGGTCCCGCGAGAGGGAGCAAAGGTAGTGTATGTGTATAACTAAGAACAATCTTCAGCAAGTCAGTCAGTACACAGCAACTGCCAGTGGTATGGAGGACAACAAATGTAGTCCTAGTTTTTAACCCATAAACGGTCCAAATGCATATATACATTTTTTCAACATTTGAAAGTATGTATGTAAAAAAAGTTGATTTTTTTTTTTTTACAATTGAAAACATGTAAAAAAAACTTTGATCTACATTTTTTTTTTGTAGTTGAAAATATGTAAAAAAAACAAACGTAGATCTACTTTTGGAGCACAATGCATATGAACGTAGATCTGCTTGGACCGTTAAGAAGAGACAGACAGGTAGCATTAGAAACACTACATTAGAAATCAGTGTCACTGGCATGCATATTATGTAAGGTTATGACGATGATTATCAGGAGATGAGTGATGAAGCACCTAGAAAGGAGTGGGTTCATGATAACCAGAACTGCTGTAGAGATGGTAAATCCTGTCTCACAAACCTACTGGAGTTCTACAAAGTAACAGAAGGTATTTTCTTGGACTGTAGGAAGGTTTTTGGCACAATGCCACACAAGAGACTGGGACAAAAGCTAGAGCAGGCATGAATAACAGGGAAGGCACTACAATGAATACCTGACAAAAAGAAAATAACATGTGATTGTCCGAGATGTCAGAATGGGTGCACATGACCTGTGGGGCTTCCACAAGGATCAGTACTGTAATATATGTACTTGAATGACATGATGGAAGGGATGTGAAAGTGAGAATACAAGCAGATGAGAACCAGGAAGGAACTACAGATATATGGACAGGTTACAGGTCTGGTCTGAAAAGTGGCTACTGGAATTTAACCCCAGGAAGTGCAAAGTTATGAATATTGTTGAAGAGCAAAGAAGACTGCAGACTGAGTACAGATTTGGGGAGCAAAGGTTGTAGATCTTGAGAAGGACCTTGGGGTGAGTATTATACCAAGCATATCACCTGAAGTGCACATCAACCAAATAACTTCTGCAGCAAATGTGCATTTGGCAAACCTAAGACTAGCTTTCAGAAACCTAAGTAAGGAGTCATAACACAATACAGTGTAAATCAGGCCTATATTGGAGTATGCAGCACCAGTATGAGATCCACATCTGGTCAAGCAAGTCAAGAAATTGGAGAAAGTGGAGAAGCCTGTAATAAGATAAGTCCCAGAGCTAAAGGGTATCTCCTATGACAAGGTTAAGGGAACAACCTGATGACACAAGAGAAAAGGACTAGCAGAGTCAGGGATGTAAGGAAGTATTTCTTCAGTCTTAGAGAAGCCAGGAAGTGCAACAATATGGAGCATGGAATGGCAGAAGCAGGATCTATGCATAGCTTTAGGAAGAGATAATGACATACGAAGAGGCGGAAACAGGAGCTGACACCCGAACCCTGCAACCACATACGTATAGGCGAATACACACGTGTGTGCATGCACACACGTGCACACACAATAAAGCTCTTAGAGCAGGAAGAGAGTGAACCTAATAGCGACCAGCAAAGAGGCAGGGCCAGGAGCTGTGACTCAACCTCTGCAACTACAAATAGATGAGTCCACAACACAGAAATAAAAGGCAAATTTTTAAAATGGAATTCAAGGGGAGTCGGTAAATGCTTAAACTACCAGAGACTTAAACAAAATTACAGATTAAACACTGGAACACCACAAGCCTTGCTCAGTTCCAGAAATAAGTAATCCCACATACTGGAAAAATGTATACTAAACCAGGCAGCTTTCCTAAGAAACACATTATGTAGGAGGGAGAGAGCTGGATAAATGTCTGCTGGTATACTAATACTGAGGGAACACTACAAGCTACAGAAAATAAAATCCAAAATATGAGTTGTCAAAATCTTGGTGACAGAACTTCTAAATCCAATTAGGACATCATAATAGTATATACACTGACAAGAGAATACAGTATCACCTGAACACTACATAAGTGTAATATTGAAACATTCAAGTGGTATAGTAACGACTTCAAAATTTCCCACGCAACAGTACCGTGCAAGCCTGGCTATTGTATATTTGTTAATCCCAGCAGCAGTACCAGCTTTCCTGAATAGTGTTTGTTACTAACACATACGGCTAAGTGGGACAAGTGTTTTGTAAGCAAAATTAATACTTAATATTTGCTTACAACAGAAAAATTACAACAAATAAACTGTTAATAAATGTCAAGTGTCTAATGAAGGCGATATGCTAAAGAAATTTTTCACAAGCCTGTGTTAAATTAGTGTGTATAGCTGTAGTATGATGTTTGCACCAAAACAAGTGTACCATAGAGAAAACAGAGAAAAACAAACATTATAATACAAGTCCAAGCTAAAAATATGACAAAAAAAAAAAGGCTGAAAAATATTTTCGTTGGTAGAGAGGAAAGGGAAGATATGATAACACCCTGGAAGGAAGAGGCGCCTTGTTACTGGTAAAGAGCTCGTGATCCATGGAAATGGAGATATCCTCACTTTCCTTGAATCAGATCTCATCATCTCCCATTCCCCAAGCACTGTATGACCCCTATGGGTTTAATGCTTCCCCATGAATATGATAAATATTGATAATATAAAACTGTAAAAGCATTGGAGAAAAGAGGTACAGTGTATAAGGAATATATTTTGCATCAACAGAGAGACGACAGGTAACAATTCTACACTTAAGAAAAACAGTGCCCAAGAAACAATAAAAAAAATATTTCTAATTAAACATTATGAAGTACTGTATTACAAAATGAACACTGAAGATGAGACATGACAGTGTGCTGCTGTAACTACAAACACAAGACAATAAACATAGTCTGTTCCTGTAATCACAGAAAGGTAATCACTTACACAATATATAATGCATGATTACAGTGACACAACATATTACTTTTATCTTATATGCTGAAACATTTGTAAAGCTTGGAGATGTGTGTAGAATACTGCAGAGCAAATCCCTGCCTTCATGTGCTGCAAATGTTGCCTTGTTGCACAAAGCATTTATTAATACATTCTGCTAGATAAATTGGTGATCATAACTATAAACTAAGCACCATAACATGCAAACAAGTTAGGATGGCCTTGTGGAAACTTAAGAGAAAGCCTACCTAGAACTTTTGAATTGATAAGTACTGTAGCATTTATTGTGCTCAGTTAAAGATGGTTCAATAAGCAAGCTATTTATTGGTGCTTCTTATCAGTAGATTAGTTTAACCATTTTACTTTCAGGCTTGCAAATTCATGCAGAGAACTTTATTTTGTATTTTATTTTCTACCTTGTGATGATTGCAGGACATTTGTAGAACTCTTGTTTTAGGATATTTCTTGCCTTTAATGTTCAAGCCAGACTCTAATGACTGATATAAGATGCCATGCAACAATGTTTATCATATATTCTATTATTTGCAATGCTCTACTGCTCAAATTCAATTCACAGTACTGTACACTCTTTTTCTTAAGTCTTTATATGCAAAATGCCCTTTGAGGTTTCTACATTAAGAATGACTTGTGTGTAGCTGGCCAAGCCCTCTACTTCTGCTATATATTACCTGTGGTTTCTCTCCTGAAGTATTAACCAAGTTTCTGCGACTACTGTACTTCACTCTTGTCATTAATCTCATTTAGTTCATTTTTCACATACTTTGTCATAGGACTGAGTTTCAGTATCTCTTAAAATATCTTCATAAATATGCTATATTTTCTCAGCAAGACAGCACCAGTTTTATGATCTTGTTAAGTGTTTTGTGCCATTATATGATTAATTCTAGGACATATGGGCAATAAATTAGTTAACTAATGATAATGACTTGATTCACAATAATGTCTACCATATTTTTAGTGTCAGACTTTTGTATATCATTATTTTTGTGGAAGCTTGCTCACTCAGTACAAGTTGAAACTATCTTGATCATCTTAATTACTCTTATTATGTAATCTAGGTGGTCTTGCAGTCATGTGGAATCCAAAAGATCAAATATGGACTGGCCAGGTATATTTTATGTATCAAATCATCTCCAAGTGTAGCTATGTAAGTAGATTGTTCAGATGTAGAATAATGAGCCCAACCAAAGTCTCTTTGGTGAGGCCTCAGCCCCAGTGTGAGATCACTGGGCTCAGGAGGAGGCCCACCAATTCTACCACTAATCTTACTGTTTACCTCCTCAGTATATCTACTGCAGAGGTTTTGCTGTGTTGATTTCTGTCACACTTACGTTGAACATCAATGCCATGATCCTTGTGCGAGTCATCACAAAGATCATTTATTTATATTAAAGCTGTAATGACTGCTGCCAGTTGTTGGTGCTGACGAAGGACAATACTATCGGGTTACTAGCTAATACTAACTCTAAAGCTGTACAAGATTGGTTAGGATCATGGCAGCTCTTTACATATCTTGTGTCATTGTCTCCTTTTCGTTACATCAAATTACTTCAAAACTCATGTAATATATCATTAATAAAAGATGATTTCTAAAGTAAATAATTTTAATTTCTTTACTCCCTTTAATATTTATATACATGCATTTCCCTTCAATGCTGGTTCCTGTGTTGAGGTGAAGAAGCTCTTAATCCAAGGAATTAGGCCTCTTGTCTTCTTCCTCAGACTGAATCTAATTGCTCCCCTCCCCTCTTCTCTCCTCTCCTACCCATTTGGCCTTTGGAGATAGTCCCTTTGTAAATTAGAGCTCTAAAGCTGAGGGGAAAGGAATAGTTTCCATTCCATTGAGAACCTCGGTGGTGGTGGTGGTGTTTGGTACAGGAAGCGAATTATCTAGGAATGTGCTGAGCTGCCCTTTGGATATCAGTGGGCAGCTTCGTGTTTCCTTAGGAACTGGCAGGTTGCCTGTCATTTCTGGGAGTTGGCGGCCAAAGTGGGTATGCCTCTTGGTGGGTGTCCAACTGCCCATATCTCTTGTTGGCCGAAGTGACTCAGTTGATGAGGAAGGTGACATCCTAGACTGCTGGCTTATTGGCATGAAGGGTAGGAGAGCGAGCTGTTATGGAGTTACAGGACCCAAAATGTACTTATGTAACTAAGTAACAATAAAAGACTCGTTATTTGAAATACCTAATTATATTAACCCATAAATGGTCCAAACATATACGTATATACGTTCTTACTGCTACTGCCCCAAACGTATATAAAAGTTTTATTTTTCCTGCCTTCAAATATGACACAATTGGCCTGAGATGCCTTGTCAGCATAGAATGGGTCATAACACTCAGTGTGCACTGTATTAAAAAAATCTGGGACCACTTAGTACCTTGTGGGAGCACCAGTTCAGCTGAGCACCAGCTAGAGCAAACAGCACGGCAAACACCAGGGATTCACTGATTTCATGTAGTATTAACTCTCTCATTTTAAGAGGAAAGTGATGTTGACCCCGAGTTTAGTAGCTTTGAGGTGGATGTGGCCATAAGTGTTTGAGGAAATATCAAAAAACCTTGATAATAACCCATGTGCAACATTTGTGCAACACCCTTTCAGAATGTCTTATAACCTATGCCCTATGTAAAGAAAAACAATTCTGGGATGTAATACACCTACCATCCGACTTACGACCGAGTTCGGTTCTGAGAAACCGGTCGTAAGTCAAAATGGTCCTAAGTCGAACTTTACTACTGAATATCAACAAAACATTTTTGTAATGACTTTATTTTATTGTTTTATTTTGGTATTTCATGTTTTACTTTACTTTTTATGTTGTTAGTACTGTATTTTATACTGTAATGTTTAGGATAAACACTGTGTACAACACAAATAGTTGTTGATTTCCCAGAAATTTGGCATAAAAAACACGGTCGTAAGTCGAGTGGTCGTAAGTCGAGCAGGTCGTAAGTCGGATGGTAGGTGTACTTGTTCAGCAGGCTGGCTGATTGGCTGGCTGGCCACCTGGCTGGCCAGCTGCATGGCTGGTCGGTTGCTGGCGGCCTGGCTCCGTTTGTTCGTCTGTGTCTATGTCTATCTCTGTCTGTCTCTATCTCTTTCTATCTATCTATCTCTGTCTCACAGGTACACATAAATACAAGTATACATAGTGTAAATTACCTAGGATAACTTAAAAAATCTAGACAAAGTGTTATACTCTGCTTGAACATATGAGTAAACGTGATGACGCAGTCTTGTGGCTCTCTCTGAGACAGAGGGCTAGACGGATAGACAGGCAGGGAGCTTGACAGACAGACAAATAGACAGACAGACATGTTTGTGTAACAGCGAAAACAAAGCAGGGCCAATGCTCATCAAATGTCACCTCTAATCTTATCTTATCAAGTCTTATCACAGCACCTCACGTATGCTCATCAAATTCCAGCTCTTATTTAATGTTATCTCATCTTATCATGTCACTGTCAGGGGTGGACTGAGACTTGTTTTTCATGCTTCAAGGGAACTTATTATGTATTATTATTATTATTTATTTTTTTATTATTAACACACTGGCCGATTCCCACCAAGGCAGGGTGGCCGGAAAAAGAAAAACTTTCACCATCATTCACTCCATCACTGTCTTGCCAGAAGGGTGCTATACACTACAGTTTTTAAACTGCAACATTAACACCCCTCCTTCAGAGTACAGGCACTGTACTTCCCATCTCCAGGACTCAAGTCCGGCCTGCCGGTTTCCCTGAATCCCTTCATAAATGTTACTTTGCTCACACTCCAACAGCACGTCAAGTACAGTGGACCCCCGCATACCGTTGGCATCACATAACGATTAATCCGCATACCGCTTGCTTTAATCGCAAAAATTTTGCCTCGCATACCGCTTAAAAAGCCGCTCACCGCTGTTCGTCCGAGACGCGTCCAATGTGCGCCTTAGCCAGCCTCACATGTTCCGCCGGTGGCATTGTTTACCAGCCAGCCTCCGCGGTAGCATCCAAGCATACAATCGTAACATTTCGTATTATTACAGTGTTTTTGGTGATTTTATCTGGAAAATAAGTGACCATGGGCCCCAAGAAAGCTTCTAGTGCCAACCCTACAGCAATAAGGGTGAGAATTACTATAGAGATGAAGAAAAAGATCATTGATAAGTATGAAAGTGGAGTGCGTGTCTCCGAGCTGGCCAGGTTGTATAATAAACCCCAATCAACCATCGCTACTATTGGTGGTACAGCTGCTGCTGCTGCACTGTCAGCTGCTGCTGCTGCTGCTGCTGTAGCATCGTCTGCTGCTGCTGTAGCATCGTCTGCTGCTGCTGTAGCACTGTCAGCTGCTGCTGCTGCTGTAGCATCGTCTGCTGCTGCTGCTGCTGTAGCATCGTCTGCTGCTGCTGTAGCACTGTCAGCTGCTGCTGCTGCTGTAGCATCGTCTGCTACTGCTGCTGCTGTAGCATCGTCTGCTGCTGCTGTAGCATCGTCTGCTGCTGCTGTAGCATCGTCTGCTGCTGCTGTAGCACTGTTGTTGGTGTGGCTTATTG